GTCCTTTCGGTAAGAACAAAGGGTACCTTTAGCTTTAGGAGATTGCAGTTTGCAAATCTATATCTGCTAATGCGGAAAGGTCAGTGTTTTTTTTTTTATCAGCAAAGATAAATTTATTTTATGGAGCACAAGGGGTACTCCTGCCTATTACAAATACAAAATCAGCTGGGATGTTACAAAGATCACAACAACTGGAACTTCAAAACACAATCTGCATCCTAAATTCAAATGAAACATTTTAACCAAAGAAGTAGACAGCCAAAGTACTACATGAAAATGACGAACTTCCAGACTGCTGCAAAACGCTGATGACACTCACTCCCCTCAAATCTTACTCTGTCGCCATTCCTTTCTGCTGTTTGTGGACCAGCTTCAGCTCCCGTTTGTATCTTCTCATTGATGAAGCACACTCAACTGGATTTACTTTCCACTCATGAAAAGAAAAAACACAGCCTTGTATCTTGTTTTTGATCCAAAAGAATGACTTGGCTTGAACCATATCTACTAATCTTCCCCTAATGTTATCTCCACTATTAAACACCTTACCATTTCTCCAATACCAAAGATACCATGAGACAATAAGAAAGATGCAAGCCCCCATCTCCTTCCCTATTATCCTACCCACATCTTGTACAAAAATGTCTACCACTCCTAATACATTATTAGGCATAACAGTCTCCATGCCCCACCACTTCAGAACCTCTACCCAAATAATCCAGGCTTCTTTACACATACAAAATAAATGGTTAGCTTCTTCAACCATGCTACCACACAAACCACACATTAACTCCTCCTCCTGCAAGAAAACCCCTCTTTTCATAATATTCCACTTAGTTGGTAACCTATCAAGGCATAGTCTCCACCCAAAAAAAGACACTTTGGATGGTACTAATCTACACCAAATTAGCTTGCTCAATTGGTCCTCTAAAATACTCTCTGTAAGAGCTAAAAATTCATAAGCCTTCCTCACCATGAAATTTCCCTCCGAATCATGAACCCACCTCCAAAAGTCTTTCACACCTTTCTTTAATTGAATACTATCCAACCTCTCCCACAACACCTCCTCCTCATCCTTCTCTCGACCTATTCTCCCTCTCCTCCAATCCATTTTCCAGCTCCATTTTTCCCCCTCCCATACCCCCATATCACTAATATTACCCAACTTGTTCTTAGATAGCTCATACAACCTTGGGCATAAATCCCGTAAATTTTTATTCCCGACCCATAGATCTCTCCAAAAACTCACTCGGTTCCCTTCCCCCACTTCCCACCTAAAACCCTCCACTAACATATTTTTAAGCCTCCTAGAGCAACCCCCTATACTAATAATATCTTTCCATATTCTAGACGTTCTCCAATTCCCCACTGCTGTAATGTCCACCTCATCCCTGTTCCCCCCGTAATATTTCTCCGTTACAATCCTTTTCCATAAGCTCTCCACATCCTCTCCAAACCCATACCACCACTTCCCTAGCAAAGCCCAATTCTTCCTATGCAGGTTTGTTACCCCTAATCCCCCTTTTACCTTACTCCCACACACCTTATCCCATTTCACCCACAAGATCTTCCTCTGCCCCTCTACCCCTCCCCATAGAAAATTTCTCTGAATACTAATCAATTCAATCATCACAGAATTTGGAATTAAGAACAACGACATATAAAAAATGGGTAGAGCAGAAAGTACCGAGTTGAGCAAAGTGAGGCGGCCACCAAAGGACAGCAAAGCAGCTTTCCAGACAGCAAGTTTGGCTCGAAATTTATTCACTAGCGGCTCCCATAACTTCTTATTCCCAGGATTTCCATCAACAGGCATTCCCAAATAACAAAAATGTGATTTCCCAACACCACAACGCAACATGCTGGCTGATCCTTCTACCCATCTCGTTGGCACATTATACCCATAAATGTTACTCTTGCTAAAATTGATTTGCAGACCAGACATCAGTTCGAACCATCGCAGAATTGTTTTGACCATAAAAATGTTCTCTGTGGCAGCTTTTCCCATAATGATTGTGTCGTCTGCGAATTGAAGTAAAGAAATAGCTAATCCCCTCATGCCAATCTCTATACCTCTCAACATACCCTCCGATACTGCTTTTTGGACCAAACCATTTAATCCCTCTCCAATCATCAAGAAAAGAAAAGGCGATAACGGGTCGCCTTGTCGTAGTCCTTTTCCAGCTTTGAACTCCTCCGTTGGGCTGCCATTAATTAGAACTGATATTTTAAAAGTCGACAAGCATTCCATGATCCAACCTTTCCACTTGATTCCAAACCCCAATCTGTCCATCATCCATTCCAAGAATGTCCAGTCCACACAATCGTATGCCTTTGCAAAATCAGCCTTAAAGATAAATGCCGACTGTTTCCTTCTCTTAACTTCCTCCACCACCTCATTCAACACCAATACACCATCAACTAGTTGACGTCCTCCCAGGAAAGCTGATTGAGATTCACTGATAATCCCCGGCAAAACAGCTTTAAGTCTATTAGCTAACACTTTTGATAACAACTTATACATACACCCGATCAAGCTAATAGGTCTATAATCCTTTAAGTTCCCAGCATTAAGCTTTTTAGGAATTAAAGTTAGAAAAGATGAGTTCAAACCACTAACCAATCGACCATTCCGATGAAACTCTTTAAAGAAGCTCATAAAATCCTCCTTTAAACTATTCCATGCAAACTTGAGAAAAGAAAAATTATACCCGTCTGGACCCAGAGCTTTAGAGCCTTCACAACTTCGCAATCCTTCTTCAATTTCCTCAATGGAGAATGGTCGTTCAAGCCACTGTTTGTCCTCTGTAGAAATCTGCTTGAAGTTAACCCCATAAGGCTTTGGTCTATTCCACGTATCTCCTTGGAAAAGCTTGCTAAAATAATTAACCACCTCCTTCTTAACTTGTATTGGTTCTTCCACCCAAAAACCATCACACCATAAACCTGTGATATGATTTTGGGCCTTTCTACCATTTGCTACTCTATGGAAGAATCGCGTGTTTGCATCTCCTTCTCGTACCCAATTGCTTCTTGACTTTTGTTTCCATATCACTTCTCTCTTCCTCAATATATCCCACATATTCTGAAATCCTTCTTGTCTTTGAAGAATCTCATAATCATCCAAATCAAAATCTTCATTTTTCAAATCAACAAGCTCAACCTTTTTAACCGCCTGTTCATATTGAGCTTCCATATCCCCAAACTCATCTCGGTTCCATCCCTTTAAAAACTCTTTCAGCTTCTTTAGTTTCTATTTACACTTATACCCTGCAAATCCATCGACCTCCATTGCGCTCCACTTCTCCTCGATAACCTTCTTAAAATTCGGATGAAGTTGCCAAGCATCCAAGACTCGAAATGGCCTTGGTCCCCAATCCACTGTTCTTTTTTTCAACACAATTGCACAGTGGTCAGAAATATTTCGTTTCAAGCCCTGTTGCACCCACTCTACACCCATACTGTACATCTCTGCATTCATCAAGACTCTATCCAGTCTGCTCATGGCTGTGCCATCTGGTCTGTACCATGTGAAACGCCTATTAACCATTTTAATATCAATTAATCCTGCTGATTGAATAAACCCATCAAAATCCTTCATATCTGGGCTTTCCCCTGTTCTTCCCCTTCTTTCCTCAAGACATCTAACAGCATTGAAATCTCCCGCAATCAACCATCGTCCTCCCTCTTCTGTAATCATGATCCTTAACTCCTCCCATAGCTTTAACCGTTTCTGTCTATCATTTGGACCATAAACATTTACCAGATTATACTTCACCTTCTGTATTCCCCACTCCCCAGTTATTCTCAAATACTCGTCACCCGTGGAATCTCCTGTCTTAGTGAAATTCACCTTATTCCAAAAACACAATAAGCCTCCTGAAGCTCCTATCGATTCCTTCATTTCCCAGCCAAAATCTCTCGAATCCCACATCATTCTACACAAGTGGTCATCCACCTTTTCTAACTTAGTTTCTTGCAAGAATAAAAAGTCCGGGTGTTCCATTCTCACTAATTTTCCTACTTCCTTCCTCTTCAACACACTACCCAAGCCCCTAACATTAAAAGACACTAACTTCATTAACAAAAAATACCACCCACAACCACTCTGCTAACTACCCTACCCATTAATCCCGCTTCCCCTTTCGTTCCCCTGCTTCCGCCCTCTCTTCCAATTCTACCAATCGGGACTGCACTTCCCCTTCATTGTCTTGGAATTGAATGCCCAATCTCTTTCCTACACTCATCATCCTCCTCACCTCATGCAAGGTTAGCTCTCTCCGAATTATGTAGTTTCTATTTGCTATGCATCCATCGGAAATAGAACAGCTACCAAGCATATTTACCTGGCTCGCTGCGCCCTGAGGGAAGTCTGCTCTCCCTCTCTGTTTCCGCTTTGTTCTCGAAATTGCCCCCTGCGTCTTTGTTGTCCGTAGCTCCGAGAAAATATCTGGATAGCAGTCTTCTACCTGCCTTCGCCGTCTGCCCCCTAATTCCTTGACTTCCAGATCGCGGTTCAGAGAAGAACCCTCCTCGCAAGCCACTTCGGGCCCTTTCTTTCCCGTGCTAGTCATCCCTCCTTGACTAACAACCCATCCCATATCACTATTATCTCCCAACCCAACTTCTTTTTCTACCACCGGCCCACTGTCCTGAGATGGCCCATTA